CAGACACTCTGCAGCTGAGAGTAGACACTTATGGTATGTGGAGTACAGATAAGCCAGGGGCAGGCCACGCCACTCAACATGAAAGCTAGGAGAGTGAAGTTTCAGTGACCATCGCAAGGAAGGAGGCAGACAAGAGTAAGGCACACCTGACTCTTAGGACTAGCAGTCAGAACCAGGAGAAAAGGTTTTATTGCTATGCTGGTAGGTAAGAACAGATTTTACTTACATCCATTTAGTTAACCTAAAGTCCAGTTTTCTATTGCATTCTCCTTAATATATTGAGCCAAAACTAGTCCAGTTAAGCTGAACTTGGTTTTTCTGGAGATTGTTTTAAATTGATAACCCTACTCTTGCTGACTCCCAAATGAAGTAAATGAGCACATTAATTCTATTTGAATGTAATATTTTTGCTCATTAGTTTTTTTTTTTTTTCTCCTTACCTTCCTTTGACCCATTTCATTAAAATAATGGCTCAAAGTAATGCATTAGAACCCTTTCCCCGACATGGTGGGAGGGTGGGTGGGCCATTAATGGGAGGGAGGGTGGTTGTAGCTTCAAGATGGGCCTTGGTCTCAGAAAAGAGCTAGTTCTAAAAGTTGTTTACTTTTCTAGGGGAGGAATCTGCTTCTACAAGCTTATCAGCTGTTAATTTTTTTAAAAACCTCAAGTTGATAGCTAAAAGGTAAGTTTCTGTAAATCATTAAGAGTGCTTTGTATCTCCAGAGTAAAGAGTAACAGGTTGAACCTTAGATTGTAACCAAAATGACTCAATCTAGGTCTTGTTGGTATCACCAAAATGTTTATTAAAGAAGCTAGTTAGGCTGGGGTGTATGTTGCTCATGGCTAGAGCCATGGGTTTGTGCATGCTAAGACAACCATACATCCTTTCAGACTGGGTCCTGCTAAATTGCCCAGGCTTGCCCACAAACTTGGGATCTTTCTGGGTCAGCCTCCTGAGTTGCTCAGGTTCTAGATATGTCACTGTCCAGCTACAAAAGGCTAATTTTTTTTTTTAAGACAATTATCAGACTGTGGGGTCTCAGTTATCTTTGAACTAAGTTTTTTCTGTCTGCCTCCCTAGTGCTAGGTAGGATTATAGGTGTACACTGCCACACCTGGTAAGAACTGTCACTCAAGCCCTGCGTGGTGACTCACGCCTATAATCCCAGGCTGAGGTGGGAGGATCATTGCTAGATCAGCCTGGGTTACAAAGTGAGCTTAAGGCCAACCTGAACTGCATAGTGAGACCCTCTGGAAAAAGAAAAAAGCTGTCACTCAAACTTTTTTTTTTTTTTTGTCACTCAAACTTTAAAAGCAGTCTTGTTACATTGTTCATAATAGTAGTAGATACAATTGGTGGAGCCCATTGATTGCTTATGTAAAAATACTTAATGAACTTCTTTCATTTTACAGGGAACTTTCTTCTGAGGACCAACCTTTATTATCTGAGCCAATGTATTTGATTCTCACTGCCTGCAGTTGTTTTTAGCTGTTCTACAGCTTTGATCATAATCATTCAATTTTGTGAATGGATTTTTTAAATAAACTGCCTTTAGTTTATTTCCTTTGTCTCCTTTTATTTGTGATACTGCTCTCATTCCATTTCAGATTTAGGAGTGGAAAGGAAATGTGTCAGTGGTTAGTTTTGTCTGGCAAACTATTTAGCAGAGAACCACCCTTTACAAATAAAAAGGCATTAAGTAGGTTGTCAAAGACATTTGCCATACCCTTTTGAATTTTTGAGATAGGATCTCACTACCTAGTGCTGGCTGTTCTCAAACTGAACTTGCAGTCATTCTGCCTAGCATCCAGAGTACTGGGGTCACAGGTGGCCTTACAGCCAACTCTGGTTACTGAGGTTTGAAGCTAGATGTTAAAGAGCAGCCGATGTTGAAATTCATATTCAGATCCTGTGAGTAGTTCTATATTTTCTAATGCTATTCAGGTTTATGCTACTCGGTTGTGGTTTAATGAAAATTAAAGCACTCATCAGGAGTAATATTCCTCCATATCCTGTGTATTTAGCTTTCCATACTGGGGTTGAACCTAAAGCTTTCACATCTATAATCACTTTTTACTTTTAGAGAGGTCTTAGTAAATTGCTAAATTCAAGTTTGGGTCAAATTTACTATCCTGCTCCTGTATCAGTGCTGGGGCGCTGCTGCTATGGCATCACCCAGCAACTTGAGGGCAATACAGAATCAACTAGTAGCAAATACTCAAGATTCACTAAGTTTACCTATCCAGCCTGATTTTTTTTCTGTAGTTTGAGTTGGCATTGAACTCACTATGTAACCTATGCTGGCTTGACTCAGCCTTTTTTTTTTTTTTTTTTTTAACTTGTTTCTTGTCTCACAGAAAGGAGAGTGCCGGAATAGGTTAGACTTAATGCTGGGATTATAGGTATGCACCACTATGTCTGGCTCCAACCTAAATTTTGAAGCTAACAAAAGTAGGACCAGGTGTGGTGAGCGTTTCTGTTATTAGTATTCAGGAGGTTGAGGCAGGAGGATCACTTGAGTTTGAGGCCAGGTAGAAGTTGGACTAGAGATAAACTAAATTCTAGGAAAAATACGCTTCTATTCACATTTTTTTTTTTTTGATGCTGGGCATCTTAACTCATGACCTCGTGTTTGCCAAGTAGGCCCTTAAGCCTTTTAGGCCTGCTGACCCCTGGGCCCCTCTTCACATTTTAAAATACCCTAGTGGGGGCCTAAGGTATCTGAGATATGTGAAAAGAATAATGTTCTCTTTGCAAGACAAGCTGATTTTTTTTTTTTTAAGCCTGGGATCAAACTCATGACCTTACACTGTGCAGCTGAGCTGTCCCGCTCACCCAACAAGCTAATTAGTTCATTATGAATCCCAGGCTGGCCTTAAAATTCCACAATCTTGGTTTCTAGCTTTATTCATAACCAGTTTGCTAGAGGAGAATTCTCATTTTGAGTAATAGAATTGTGGCACAACTTGCTAGCTCAATGGCTTGATAAAATATTTCTACTGAAAAGTGTGTATTCCATTATTGCAATCCACATATACTTCGCCATATTTATATAAGGTTGAAAATAAATTTTTTACATGAGAAAAATTCAAGGAAGATAACCTTGTCCAAGTTCCTGTAACCACTGGATAAGTAACTCAGAACTGTTGTAGCCCTTCAGGTTGCCGTGCAGCAAATAGCTACACCTGCAGAACAGTCTCCCCACTAGGCTATGGTTTTTAGAACAGCACAGCATTGTCTCTTGTTTACTATACCAGCAAACCTAGAATTTAACTAGGTTGATGTCTGAATTTGCCTGTGAATTACTACCTGTTGTGAATCTGCATAGAATAGAAAAATCCTCAGTGTTCCTTAGGCAAAATATGTTCAAATTTACAGTGAGCCCAAGACCCTGCCCTTTACAATTTGAAACAAATATTGTCCCTCCTCTTTTTGTTTAAGACAGGGTCTTGCTCAGTAGTCCTGGCTGGCCTTGAATTCACTGTGTAGCCCAGGATGACCTCAATCTTATAACAATTCTCTTGCTTCAGTCTCCCAAGTGCTGAGATGAATGGGGTGCACCACCATGCCCAGCTCATTGTCAATTTTTTGGGGGGCAGGGCAGGAATATCAGGTACTTGGAATCAAACTCAGTACCTTGCCCCTGCCAGACGTTCTGTATTGCTGAGCCAAATCCCCAACCCATTGTCAATTTTTTGAGAGCTCAAAAATCAAAAAATTGTCTGAAGAATATTCAGATCTGGGTTTTTGTTGTTGTTGTTTGGGTTGTTTTTTTTTTTTTTTTTGTTTTGTTTTGTTTTTTTTTTGGTACCGGGGATCAAACTCACGACCTTGTGCTTGCCAGGCAGGCACTTAAACTGTTGAGCTAAATCCCTGGCCCAGCATATTCAGATCTGTTAGAAATAGGGAAATTCAAATTGCCTTCAGTCCTTAAATGTAGACTAGAAACTACATTTAGCAACAGGTGTGGCTATTAAGATTTTTATTCCCACCCACACATGATGCACTTCTATTATCCCAACACTTCTGAGGCTGAGGCAGAAGGATCATTTCAAATTTGAGACCAGTCTGGACTATCTGGGCTATAAGTGAGCTCAAGCCCAGCCTGAACCACATAGTAAGACCCTGTCTCAAAAAGACAAAAAAAAAAAAAAAAAAGATTTTGTATTTCCTACTATCTCAAGTTACTTTTCTGCTCTCAAATCCCAACATCTGTGGTGTTTATATCAGAACATGTTGAAGCTTGTAAAACAGTAGAACACAGAAAATAAACAAAAACCTCCAAAGAAATTAGGTGTGTGAGTGACTGGAAAGAATGAGTCACTTAACTCCAAAGATATTGAGTGTTCTGTTCTGAAGATTTGGTCAGATTTTTTTGTTTGTTTTTGTTTTTTTTAGACAAGGTCTCACTGTGTAGTTCATCATGGCCTTAAACTCACAGTGATCTGCCTCAGGTTCTGGGGTGCTAAGATTACAGGTATGTACCACTATACCAAATGGTTTGATTGGTTTTGTTTTTTGTTTTTTTCCACTTTTTTCAGTATCAGGAATCAAACTCAGGACCTTGCACTAGCCAGAAAGGTGCTATGCCACTGAACCATATCCCTGGCCCTGACTGGATTCCGATGTGACTAAAGAATCTGAAACTTAAGCACCTGCCTTGCAAGCAGGCGGTCATGAGTTCGATCCTGGGTACCAATAAAAAGTTAAAAAAAATTTTTTTTTAAAAAAAAGAATCTGAAACTTCACTGGGTGTGGTGCTACATGACTATAATCTCAGCACTTGGGAAGCTGAAGCAGGAGGATTGCCATGAGTTTCAGGCCAGCCTGGGCTATATAGTCCAAGGCCATCTTCAACTACATAGGTAGAGCCTATCTCAAAAAAAAAAAAAAAAAAATCTGAAATTTAGTTAACTTATTATGAGACAAAGAAAAAAATAAGACAGATAATGTTCAAAACAAGTACTGGGTAGTGTTTTAACATAACCAGAGAGAAAGGTTCACAGGAATGCAGATTTTATTCCACCATACAGCAGGTTTTACCAAAGGCTCAAGTGATATGCTCTAATCAAACTCTCCTTCCATTGGAGAGTAGCCCCATCTTCTGAGAGAGCCCTAGCATATCAGGATCTAGGCTGAATAAAGAGGAAGAGAACAGAAACATAGGCCAGTGGACATTCTAGGTGGTTGTTTAGTTGCTGTTCCAAGATTTGAGAAAGAAGAGACCTAACATCAGGGATCTTGCACTGAGGATTTAGTCAGCCTTGAGAGCTCCCCCAGCTTTAGGAGTAAGGAGCCACTGAGGCAGGAGAATTGCAAGTTTGAGGTCAGCCTGGACTATCTAGGAAGTCCAAGACCCTCAATTCCCCCAACTAGCACTGATCTCTGAGGAATGTTCAGTTTTAGCATCTATCTCCCTCAAGGTAGAAGAAATGTCAGGAGTGGTGGTATACTGTGTGGAATCTTCATTTCTTTTTTCAAAAAGGGAAGTAATAGTTTCAAAAAAATGTTGCTAAGGAGAAGCCTTATTTCTGGCCTTATTGTTCCAATATTTTAGTCAGGTGCCCAGAATTTTCTTGGAACTTGGATGAGCCTAGAATGCCAAATCTGAGTGTCTAGTTTTGCCTCTTAAAAGGTTATCAGGGTAGTTATCAGTTATTTATTTTTGTGAGTTCTCCTAATTCCAATCCACTTGCCTGCTTTATATAGTGAGAATTCAAGGCCGGATGTGGTGGTGCATGTCTATGATCCCAGCACTGGGGAGGCCAAGGCAAAGGCAGTTAGGATCACTACAAATTCAGGTCCATGGGCTGTGCAGTGAGACCTTGTCTTTAAAAACCAAACCAACAAAAAAAAACCAAGTGAAGATTTAGACAAGTCTGACAGCACTTCATTAATATAAGGAATCCCACGAGGACAGCCTGCAGTGTGGGCTGAGTGTATTTTTACTTTGGTGGCAGCACACACCTGTAATCCCAGCACACACCTGTAATCCCAGTGGCTGAGGCAGAGGAATCACTGCATGTTCCAGGCCAACCTGGGCTACATAGTGAGCTCAAGGCCAGCCTGAACTGTGTAGCAAACCCCTGTCTCAAAAAAGGCTAAAACAAGGGAGGGGTAGGAGGAAGACACAGTAAAAACCTATTTCTGTAGAACTCTTTATGGACCAAAGCCTAGACAAGAGGAAAAAGGTCAGGCTGGGAAGCTAAGTCCCTCCCCTAGCCTCACTGAGCACACCTCAGAACTTCCAGATGCTGGGGTTCCCCTTGTTGTCTGCTTGGTCTACAGAATTTAGCACCTTTTAGTCTGGAGGCTGGGGAGTACCTTTATCCTAAGGAAATACGGGAAATCCCTCTCATATCTCCCACCACTTGGGGTGCTCAGTCTGTGGCCTCCACCTTGACCCCCCGGGGCACCAGGAAGATGGCCCCATCTGCAGCCTGTTGCAGTGCGTACTCTTCAGGGGAGTAGCTGTTGCCTGCTTCATCCCGAAGGTGCTGGAAAATGTCACGGTAGAGCTCTGCCAGTTGTTGGCGCATGACCTCCAGGGTGCGGTCAGCTTCCCCTCGGGCCCTGAGAAGCCGCTCCCTTTCGTTGCCCAGCCGTTCCAGCTCCCGCTCCAATTGTACAATGGTTTCCAGCTTTCTCTTGCGACAGTTCTGGGCAGCCACCTTGTTCTTGCCCCTCCGTCGTATATCCCGAACTAGTGCCAGCTGGCTTTCCGTCAGAGGGTAGCGTGCCAAAAGCTCATTAAAGTCATCTACAGGCAAGTTAACGATCTTGTCTGTTGGGAAGGGGATCTTCATGGCCAGAGCCCGACGCTCATCCCGACTCCCCGCCTCCCCCCGTGCAGTAGGCTTAGCTCGCACAGGGCCTGGGGAAGGCTCTAAGGCCAGAGGGGGCTCAGCAGATGGCAAGGCATAGTTGGGGTGGGCCAAGGAGTTGGGCAGAAGTGAGTAAGGGTACTCCACTGGGTACATCTCTACGTACTCGCTCCGACGCCGCCCAGCCTCTGTCCCCTCCAGCTCTAGAGATTCCGCATCACTGTAGTTGAGGGATAATCCTGAATCAGATTCGGGGTCCTCCTGGGTCTTGGGTGGCCCCGCTGGCAGCCCAATGTCCAGAAGAGCTAAGGGGTCTGGGAGGGGCTCATTGAGCAGGCCTGAGAGGGTCAGTGGCTTGGAGACTGGCATGGCCATGTTGCTGTAGGAGTACGGGGGATCCGGGACATGGGACATAGATGCTGGGAGCTCATAAGGCGGTGGAGGAAGGGAGAAGCCCGTGTCTGGGTGGACAGTGCAGGGACAGTAGGAGAGAGGTGGTGGAGGTCCAGAGTATGGAGCTGAGGCTTGAGTCTCAAATGATGGCTCACTTGGAGCATTTAGACCCTGTAGGAAAGATACAAAGATTTGGGAGACAAGTTAAGAAAGAGAAACTGGGGCTAGGGATTTAGCTCAGTGACATAAGAACCTGCCTTGCAAGTGTGCGGTCGCGAGTTCGATCCCTGGTACCAATAAAAAAAAAAGAGAGAGAAACCAGTAAACCAGGTACAATGGTGCATGCCTGTAATCCTAGGTACTTAGGAGCCTGAGGTGGGGAGACTACAAGTTCAAAAGCAAGTTGAGCAGTATATCAGACAGACAGACAGACAGGCAGACAGGCAGGCAGACAGATACTGGTACTCTCTCAGGATCAAGTGGGGTCCTTCTGAAAAACCCAGTAAGATGAAATGGTAAGAGAGTAAAAGTTATCAAAAACCACTGGAAGCTTCATATACAATGGCCATGCAGTTATCCCCAGAAGAAAGCAGCACAAGCGAAAATAGAGGTCTCAGACCAAGGATTTAGCTCTGTGGCATAAGCGCCTGTCTGGCAAGCTCGAGGTCATGAGTTCGATCCCCAGTAACTAAAAATAAATAAGTAAATAAATAAAAGAAGTCTCCAAGGTCAGCTTCAGAGGCAACCACCTAATACTGGAAGTTACAGAAGGGGCTGGGGATTTAGCTCAGTGGCATAAGCACCTGCCTTGCAAGCAGGCAGTCGTGAGTTCGATCCCTGGTACCGAAAAAGACAAAAAAAAAAAAAAAAGAAGAAGCTCTGAGTAGAAATGGCTCCTTTAATTCTTTTGTCTTCTTCTTCTTCTTCTCCCTTTAATTCTTTCAGGAAAATAAGTCCATGTTACCTAAGATAACCCCTCAGAAGCCTTTCCTGCTGTGGTTACCTGGGGTCAAAGGGTCAAATTCACTCCCTGGCCATCCCCTGGGTGTCCAGTAGAGGGAGCTATTGCTTGGAAGGAAGGCCTGGGGCAGATCCTGAGGGCACCAGACCTGAAGGCAGGGGTGGGGAATGAGCAGGCACCTTGGGGAGCCACCACAAGCTCTGCTTCTCCTTTCAGTGCCTGCCCAGGTGCAGTGAGGAGAGAACATGCTGGAAACAAGGCCCCCAACCCACATGGAGGAGCCACCCTGCTTCAATGCAGCCGGGGACAAAGGCATCATTGTTAAGCCAACAGATACCCCTTTGTCCAACCCGCAGAAGGAGAGGACCCCAGCATTGCCCAACTCCCCTTCCTGAGGCCCCTGAACTACTGCTCTGCTACCTGGGAGAAAGGAGAGCAGTTGCTAAAGGCAGGGGAAAAAATGAGGGGAGATGCAGGGTTGGAGGAAAGGAAGTCTGAGGAGAAGGCAGTGAGAAAGAGGACAGCGCAGGAGTACAGCGGATGGACATAAGCAGGGTGCCTGCTGCAAAGGTCTACACCAGTCAGGTCCTCCCCTCCCTCCACCCCTGTCTCCCGCTCCTCCACACCCTCTCTTCCCCAGGTTCCTCAGGGTTCCGTCTGCCCACTCCACCCACTCCCACCTACTCTGGCTTCCTTTTCCAGGGTCTGCATCCTTTCTGCCCCTGAGCCTTGCTCCTTCCCAGCCCTGCCTCCCTCAGGCTCAGGCTAGCCTTTCTGCTTCTCCCTTTTGCCCATCCCTGCTCACCTGCAGCTCAGTGATGGACATGATCTCTTGCCAAGTCAGTTCCATCTCACCCAGATCCGGCGTGGGCAGCTGAGTCACCCTGTTCCTGCTCTGCTGAGGAGGACACGGGGGCATCCTACTGGGCCAGGGTCTGGTCCAGGTTTCTCCAAAGTCCAAAGGGGCTGTGCAGCCCTCTGCAGCAGGGAGAAAGGCATAGATTTGGAAAGGCCATCCTGTCTTTCCACTCTGTGGAGTGCCCTCCCCAGCTCCACCCTCACTCACGCTGGACTCTTTAACCAACTCCACCCCTTCACCTGACAAGTTCTGTTTTTTAATTTTTATTTATTTACTTTTTTTTCTTGAGGCAGAGTCTATGTAAACCAAGCTAGCCTCAAACTCACAGTGATTCTCCTGCCTCAGCCTCCCCAATGCTGGGATTACAGGCTTGTGCCACCACTCCTGGCCACCTGGCAAGTTCTTTTCTGTTATGAACCCCATCTCATCTAATTTTTTTTCCCCATCTCATCTATTACAGTCACAGTCAGTTTCTTTGGAAAGATCTCTTCTCTGTCTTCTTTGGAAGATAACAGAGTTTTATCTTTTTTTCCCCCACACAATGCCTTCTTTCTCCCCTACTTGTTACTCCCCAAAATTGTAGTCTTGGGCAGAGACAAAGTCATATCTCCCAGGATGTTTTGGTTGGTTTGTTTTTCTTTTTCTTTCTTTTTTTTTTTTTTTTTTTTTTTTTTTTTTTTTTTTTTTTTTTTTTTGCAGTACTGGGGATCAAACTCATGACCTCATGCTTGCCAGGCAGGCACTTATGCCACTGAGCTAAATCCCCAGCTCTGTTTTTCATTTTGTGAGGAAAGATCAAGAGTCACCTCTGTTTTCCTCCTGTGTCCTCAGTTTAGGGTCTCAACCTTCTTCCCTCAAGATAAAACTGAGTGCTTGGGGATCCCCAAGGAGTGTGTTGTGAAAAGTACTAAGCAGACAGCCCCTCTCCCGAAGATACGGCCCAGGCCTGGCTGCCGATAGCAGCCCTGCCCTCTCCTCCTATCCTGACCCTGGGGTCCCATGTCTGGGCCAGACAGATAAGAGGCTTATCAGCTGCAGGCAGCAGAGGCATAGGAGGATTGGGCCCCAGAGACCCAGAGACCCGGAACCTCTACCCTGAGTCCCCAGGGGGGCATCTTGGCCATATCCCATCCTATGCAGCCAAGGATCTTTTGTCTTCCAAGAAAACATAACAAACAGCAAAGACTTCAACACTTGTCTAGAGCTGTGCCAGTGACATTGATTTTCACAAAGATCTTTGAGGGTCCATTCAGAAATTGAGACCCAATCTACAAAAGGAAGGAAGGAAGGAAAGAAGGAAGAAAGGAAGGAAGGGAGGGAGGGAGGGAGGGAGGGAGGGAGGGAGGGAGGAAGAAAGAGAAAGAAAGAAAGAAAGAAAAAGAAAGAAAGGAAGGAAGGAAGAAAGAAAGAAAGAGAGAAAGAAAGGAGGGAAGGAAGGAAGGAAGACCCAAGCTGATGTATTGCATGATGAGGTCTGGAACCTAATTTCACTCCCCTCCAGTACCTTCCAGACACCTTCCTGTCCCCCTGGAGCCTACACACTGAGGCACTAGTGGCAGGCCCCCTCAGCAGATGGGCCCTTTCTCCTGGGCAATATATGTCTATTAGACCCTTAAATCCATATTCCCCTCCAAGTTTGCTTCTCTTTTTTTTTGATCTCACCTTTAGCAGTCACTCCGCCACAAAAGCAGCAGTGCGATGTTGGGCAATCTGACTCACTGCTCTGGGCCTCTGTTTCCTCATTTGTAAAACCAGTGAGTTGGACTACTTGAATTTGGGAGTCCCTTTCTGCTTGGACAGTCGAGTTCTTAGCAAACTCTCCCCATGCACTGATCATCTCCTATCTCCTTGATGTTGGTTGCTCTCCTCATTCTCCCTCTCTACTCCCTGACACTCATCTCTGCATCTGCTTTTATCTTCTGCAAGAGATTCCAAGTAGAACTTGGCAGGAGCCTCCTAATGTCTTTAGGGTCAAACACACAAAGCATTCACACACAGACACACACACAGAGCCACCAAACCACGTAAATACAGAAAGGGCAGGCTAGGGATGAAGGAAACATATAGAAGGGCAGAAAATGATCTCAAATTGCATGACTTTAGACCACCCACCAGAAAGAGGCCCATTGCAGCTGTCTAATATGGAATCTACTCTTGGGATTATCACAAAATTAATGGAACTACAAATTATCTTTTTGAAAGAGAATCTCCCCATGCCCCCTGCTCCACCCTTTTGTTATACTGCCATCTCTAGAACTGAGAGTTGGTGTAGGCACAAGCCCTTGGCCAGTGGGCAGAGTGGGTGGGGTGTTTATGTCTGTCCATTTCAACACCGGAACCCCACCGTCCTCACCCCAGTTCTGGCGGAAATTGCCCAAAAGGCAAAGTGAATGGAGAAGGAGTTTGGGGGCAGGGGCCACAGTTCTTGCCTCATAGCTCTTCACTCACCCCACCCCACCCCTTGGTCTCTCCCATCTTCCTGAATCTGATTCTAAGGTGCAGTGCAAATGTCCTGCCCTGGGAGGCAGAAGACCAAGTACTTTGGGTAAAGGGCATTCCATTCAGTACCTTCTATTAAATGGGGGACTAGAGAACCCCAACCTCACTGCTGTGGAGGTCTCAGACTGCATCGAGCTCAGAGAGTCACATCTTTATTGTATATCACACTCACCCAAGAATTGTGTGAAAACAGATTCCTGAAACCCATCCCAGACCTGCTGAACTGAATTCATAGAGCAGGTACCCAGGAACCAGCATTTCAAAAAGCTCCCCAGTGACTTTGATGCAACTGGCCAGTTGCACCTTGAAAACCTCTAGACTAGTCCATCTGTATATATTTACAGGGAAGGACACAAAGCCAGCATGGAGCTCAAGAAATGTTCTCTAAGCTCTTTCAGGCTTTCAATCCTCAACCCAGGCAAAGCTGGCCTCCAGCCTTTCTCTAAGCCTAGATATCAGCGCTTTCTCTTGAAGGGCTGGAGCTCAGTCTCCCCCTCTCCCAGGGACAAGAAAGTGAGAATGTAGCAGAGGAGCAGGGTAAGGCTGAGGGAGAAAGAGTCCCAGAGAACCTTTGGACCAGCTCTATCAGCTCTCTAATGCAGCAGCAAGTTTGCAGCAGGCCACCGAAGGCATGGGAAGGCTACTTTCCCAGACATCCAGGAATGAGTGGTTGTGGTCCTATACCAGGCATGGGCCTCTTATGTCTTAGGAGCCTGCCTTTCAGAAGACCAGTGAGTTGGTACCCAGGCCAGGGGGACAGTATACTCAGAATTGGATCAAACCAAACTCCACAGGAGCCCAGAAACTGGGGAAAGGCTGGGAAAGAACAAATAAGGAGCTCTCATTTTATTTATTTATTTATTTGGCACCAGAAATTGAACTCAGGACCTCAAAGTTGCCAGGCTGACATTGTGCTGCTGAGATATATCTCCAGCCCAGAAGCCCCGTTTTATACTTTAGTCTGCATTTTAAGGTCACATAACAACCTTATTCCATGGAAATGGCTATTTCTTCTCCTCTTATTCCTCAATGTTATGAATTAGTTAGAACTAATGCTGTATCTCCAGGAACAAAAACACATCCTCATCAGCCAGGTGTGGTGGTAAACACCTGCAATCTTAGCATCCAGGGGGCTGAGGCAGGAGGATTACTACAAGTCTGAGGCCAGCCTGGGCCTCTCCCAGGTGGGAGAAGCTTATATAGTGAGTTCAAGTCTGAGCTAAGCTACACAGTGAGACCCTTTCTCAAAAAACTAAAAAACAAAATAAAACTTTCCTCACTTGCATACATACTCAGGAAGCTGTTTTATGTTTTTGTTCTGTTTTGTTGTTTGATGCTGGAGATCCAACCTGGGACATGCTAGATGCTAGATGAGGACTCTACTGCTGAGCTATACCCCCAGACCACCAGAAAGATCCTGTTACAATCCCTGAGTACTTACAGAATGATACAGAGCTTTGTGCTTAGGGATACAGAATCATTGGCAAGGCAATCCAGGAGAGGAAAATATTTGGCTTCCTCGATATCCCAGGGTGCTTAACTTTCATGACAATGGGGAACCATAGAAGGGAGACCTGCCTCAGTCCTATTTTGAGGCTTATTACACTACTGCACTCTCCAGGTGTCAGTGTAGTCAATGGAAGGAAAGGCAAGGTTCAGTAAAACTCGGGGTATAGGTTGGCAAGTGAGCAACCTAATTAAAAAGATCAAAGAAAGAAAGAAATATCAGGGAGAATCCCCAAAGTGGGAGAGGTGACCAAGAAATACACAAAATGAGGAAAAAGGAAGAGATTTGAGCAGAGCAAGCTCAGCCCTCTGGGTGCATATGTGACTCAAGCATGTGTGGGAACCAGGGAGCAGGGGACAGGTTTCTGTAGTCCTGTCATTATCCCTAGACCCCAAACTACCATCCTTTGGGATCAATGACTTGAGACTCTCAGTCCTAGAAGATCTGACCTCTCCTCTCTTCTAGCGCTTCCTGCCCTCCACCGCCTAGCAGCCACCGTCCAGTGGGAAGGCTACTCTGCGGTAGGGATGCCTTCTTCCTTCCAGTTCCAGGGATCTCTAGTACCCCAGAGACCAGAGAAGAAAACAAGCAATAGGAAGACAACCCCACCACCACCACTTCATCCTGCTATATCAACACTTCTCAGCCTCCAGATTGCCAGGGTCTCAGTTTCCCTCCAAATCATCCAAGCTGGCTGGACAAGGCAGCAGAATGGGATGGGGTAACAGAAAGTGTGGCAGCGTATACTTGGGTGTTCATTGCCTCCTACAGGGCAGCCCTGCAGGTGAAAGCTTTCTTGGGGCTTTCCCCAGCACCTCAAGGGTTTCTCAGGGTTACCACTCTGCCCATCCACATGTTCCCACCCCAAGAATCCCAGAACACCCAGGAGCTGTCTAGGTATTCTCCCAGAGGATTTTGCAAAGATGTCAAGTTCCTAAACCAGGAGCACTCTGGGAAAGTGTCCTACAAATATTCTGAAAGTTGGTTATTTCTTCCCTCTACCTCCACCACCTCCCCAACCTTGGATCCCACCGGCACCACTCTCCCCCCGTTGCTCCCCCGACCCCACTTTCAGGCACCTGTGGCACAGTCCAAGCAGGGCGCGGAGAGAGATGAGGCTCCGGAGTCGTGTCTGGGGAGGCTGGGTCAGAGCTGACACCTCCCAGGACAGGGATCCTGCTACCTCTGGGAAGCAACGAGGCCTGAGCCCCGCCCCCAGGCCATCGCTGGGCTCCGAGTGTGGCGGCTGAGGCTCCACTAAGCACCGGAGCCTGCAGCGAGCACCAGCCCTGCTCTGAGCACTCAGCCTCAGTTCTCAGTTCTTCCTGCTACCCTCCCCTTTCCCTGTGGCCCTCCTCCTCCTGCCCCTTCTGGCCAAGAGAGGAAACTTGAGCCCGGTGTGGTTTCTGCCCACACCCCGCCCCCGCCTCGCTCCTGGCCAGCGGGGGCACACAGGGCTCCAGGCCGCTCCCAGCCCTCTTGGAAGCAAGAGTCCAGCCAGCTCTGCAACTCTCCCGTGCACAGGATGAATTCCAACCCGATGGTCCACTCAAAAGTGACCTCTAGATTTTATACGGGTTGTAACCTCCTTTTCTGCCCGCTGTGGCTCTCTTAGGGATAGAGAAACTAAGTCAATAGTAAGGTGGCCGGCAGGAAGTTAAAGGCCTGGTGTGTGGCTTCCCAGGTGTTTAGGCAAGTAGGCATTCAGGACATGCCTGGGCCCCGGGGACAGACTAAAGGAGCAGTTTTGGGGAGGAGGAACCTGCACTGCTTTGATGTGCCCTTTCACCTGTAGCCTTCTCCCCTCCCCCTCAGCCTCAGATGTTCTAAAACAAAGACTTCTTTCTTGGCCAGGTGTTTTTGTTTTTTTTTTTTTTTTTTTTTTTGGCTTTGTCAGTGGTGTGTGAGGGGAATTGAGTTGGGGGCTGTCCAGTATGTAAATTATTCACCTCCTTATAGGGGACTCTGCATCCTTTCTTTTAGGCAAAGCAGCCCGACCACATGTCAGCTATGTACTTTGGGTACACTAGTTCAGATGCAAGTGTAGAACTCAGGTTAATTGCGTGTCCACATCAGGCCAGAGCTCATCCAGAAGCATGTCACTCTTTATCCTTCCTCAAAGTGAGAGGACCTAAACTCAGGCCAAAGAGATGTCTCTAGAGGCTAAGGAAAACATCTTCCTCCCTTCCTCCTTCCCTCCCTCCTTCCCTCCCTCCCTCCCAGTTTTTAGGTTTTGTTTTTTTTTTTTTTTTTTTTTTTTTGTCTTTTTCCTTTTTTATCGGTACCGGGGATCGAACTCATGACTGCCTGCTTTCAAGGCAGGTGCTTATGCTGCTGAGCTAAATCCCCAACCCCCCTCCCAGTTTTTAGTAGCTTTCAACTCTAAGAAAAGTCCTTCAAGTGTCTACATTCTTTTTTCATTTGTTTGGATTTTTGTTTCACTTAATTATTTTTTTTGGTATAGTGGATCAAACTCACAACCTCGTGCTTGTAAGGCAGGCGCTTATGCCTCTGAGCTAAATCCCTGGCTACTGTTTTGTTTTATTTTGGTACCAGGGATCAGACTCACAACCTTGCACTTATCAGGCAAGCATGTGAGCCACTGAACTAAACCCCGGCCCTTCTTTTAACCCTTCCACATTTTTGCTATTTTTCTTCTCATGTTGTTTATGTTAAATTGGAAACATCTGAAGACTGGTAGAGCCAAGTGTGATGGCTCACATCTCTGATCCCAGCACTTGAGAGACCAAGGCAGGAGGATCCACATGAGTTCAAGTTCAGCCTGAACTACAATGGCAGGAGCATGTCTCAAAATGTCAAAACATAAACTAAAATAAATAAATAGACGGGAGAAGCAGACAGGTGCCACCCCAGCGCAGGGCTGGCCTTCAGACAGCATGTTCTGATGGGACTGTGTTCACCATTAAATACTGGAAAATATTCTATCCCAGCTGATGAACAACTGATGAGCAGCTGTGAGTTTTTCAGGTGTTTGTTCATCACATCATGACTACCATGGCCACCCCACTTCTTCCCTGAGAGCAACCAAGCCCAGCAACACAACCATGCATGCAAAGAGGCTGTGTTGATACCAAAAGGAGCTTCTCAAATAGGCTTGTTTGTGCTGGAATTAATCAATGTCCATGCCAAACCCATGGGTGAATGCTTTGAATTCCAACTGTATCCCAGGAGATCATAAATGTACATGCACAATTTATGTCGAACAGGAAGCAATCCAGTGACTTCATTGTGTGTTACATGTGGGCTCCAAATCTCTTAAGACCTGGTTGTGAATCTGGGTCACACACATGGGCCTCCAGATACAGTTTTCTCACTTGCATTCTCAGAAAGGATGAACAGTGGTGAGTCACACTTGTGGCTGATTATATAATGATATCAGGTTACAGATATTCCACAAACATTTATTGAATGAGAACACCAGTTCAGGACACTGTATGGTACTGCAGATACAACTGTAGATAACACAAGCCTTATTCATTCAACAAAGTTATTGACTGTCTACTTATGTCTTCCATTCCAGAAACAAAAAGGGGAACACGACATGGTTCATGCCCTCACTCCCAGGGTAGTCAAGGGTTACATTAAAGTCTATTGTCAAGTGCTGTGGAATGGAAGAGGCAATGAATTCTACCTGATGAAGTTCAGGGAAGGGATTCCAGAGGAGACAGTTGAGCTGGGCTGTATTCTGAGCAAGCAGCGAGTTTAAGAGAGGAATGGGGGTAAGGGTGGGGGTGGTCAGTAGTTAAAAACATAAAAAGGAAAAATGCAAAAAAACAAAACAAAAAAACAAATGTTAGGGACTGGGCTGTATGTAGCTCAGGGGGAGTATTTGCCTAGCATGTGTGTGGCCCTCCATTGCGTCCTCAGCACACAAAAGAGAAAAATTGGGGCTGGGGATTTAGCTCAGTGGCATAAGTGCCTGCCTTACAAGTGTGTGGTCGTGAGGTCAATCCCTGGTACCAATAAAAAAGAAAAAGAGAAAAATAAAAGCCTGAATTTTCCCCCCCTCAGTATTAAGGATTGAACCCAGGGCCTTTACACTGAGTACATCACCAGCCCTTTTTATTTATGCTAAGACAGAGTCTGTAGTACTAAATTGCTAAATTGTCCAGACTGGACCTAAATTTGTCACCCTTCTGACTTAGCCTCCTAGAGTGCCTCCTAGAGTGCATTTGCCACCACACATGACTAAAGCTAGCAAATTTGACGTGGATGAAATCTTAAAAATCAAGTTACAAAAGAAAGGCACATCCTATTCCTGAAGAAGTGTCTGAAGTCCCTTACTGCCTACCTGCGGGAACAGACATGGTGATACAGGGTGAGCTAGATGAGGAGACAGCCTTCATGCAGGCAGCTGGCTAACCCAGGCGGCTCTCCCAGCTCCCTCACACACCTTCTGTAGTAGGAGGGCTTTGCTGATTCCCAGGCTGAGTCTTGTCTACAGAACACTCCTTCCAGCCGTCTGCCTCCACAGCCCAGAGTTGATACCCTCCCCCTTTAAGTCTCTTTTGCTTGATTTACAACATGTGGGACATTAGCTGAGTTTCAGTTGAACTGGACTGGACAATAGTGCCCATGGCTTGGCAAACCAGGGACACCTATGGTTTTCCTATCCTTCAAGTATTACCACTTCAACCAAGGTAGCAGAGACAAAAAACCAGAAAGATGTGGCTGCCTGACTTTATTAGCCTACCATTCTGTACCTGTGATGCTTACCCACCCCGAAAGGCTAACTTGTTGTCACTCATGGCCAGCCCACTCCACCCTCACCCTACAACATGTGTGTACACCACCAGCAGCAGCATCAGGTCAAGCCACAGTGATGTTGCCAAACACCCTACTGGGTTATGCAACCAGCTTCCCGAGAAGACAAGGACAGGGTGGGTAGAGGTGGAACCAGGGGAGGGCCACAGGTCCCAGAGGGAGCTGGCTGCCTCCCCGGCTTGCCTACTGGTCTGACCGCAGTGGCCCCAGAGGGCGGGGATAGCGCTGGCTCTTTATCAGCGCCCCACAGGGTTGCACCCGCCACCCCTTGGCTTCCTCTCTCAACAGACGGAAAGGGGAGGCAGCCACAGGGGGAAAGGGAGGGCTGGGCGTTATCCTAGGCAGCAGAGCCAGGCAGTTGCCCAGATGGGGGAGGTGCTGAGGACCAGGGAATAGTGAGGTCCGTGTTCCTAACGCAAGGGTGGAGTGGAATGAGCTGAGTCCCAGAGAGCAAAGCCCCATCTCCTGAGCTAACCACTCACTTTTCCTTGCGTTTCAGTTTGGATAAGGATAGGATTTTTTTTTTTTTTTTGAGACAGGGTCTTGCTATGCAGTTTAGCATGACCTTGTACTCATTATGGAGCTCACGCTGGCCTCAAACTCTTGGAGATCCTCCTGCCTAAACCTCCCAAATGGTGGGATTACAAGCGTGTGTCACCACAGTCAGCAGGGTAGAATTATTTTTTGGCTGGTCCACAAAATGTGTGTCATCTATTTATTTTATTATTTTTTATTAGTACTTTTGTGGTACATAATGATTACGTTCATTGTGAAGAATTGGTACATGTACATCACTTAGATCTTAATTCTTTTTGTTTTTTAATTTCCTTCTTCATTCCTCCTCTCAGGATAGGATTTTTTAAAAAGTCTTTGGGGCCAGGTATAGTAGCTCACATTCATAATCCCAGCACTTAAGAGGCTGAGGCAGGAGGATCACTGTAAGTGTGAGGCCAGCCTGGGTACCTACTGGGTTCAAGTCCAGGCTGGCCTCAAACTCTTGGTGATCTTGCTGCCTCAGCCTCCTGAGTGCTGGGATTACAGGTGTGTACCACCATACCCAGCTCTTCAAGGATGTTTTTCAAATAAGATTTTTTTTTTCTTTTTCTCTTTTTATCAGTACTGGGGATTGAACTTGCGACTGCCTGCTTGCAAGGCAGGTGCTTATGCCGCTGAGCTAACCCCCAACCCCAAATAAGATTATTTAAACAATTGGGGTTGGGGATATGGCTCAGTGATAGATTTCGTGCCTTGTATGTACAAGGCCCTGGGTTCAATCCTCAGCACCACTAAATAAATAAATAAATAAATAAATAAATAAATAGTGTTAAACAACTGACTCAGGAAAGGAGACTAACTCCACATTCAGGCCAGAAGAGCCAAGGTTGTTTTTGTTTTTTTTTTTTTTTGTCTTTTTCCTTTTTATCGGTACCGGGGATCAAACTCACGACTGCCTGCTTGCAAGGCAGGCGCTTATGCCGTTGAGCTAAATCCCCAGCCCCTGGGTTTTTTAAGGAGCTGTGCAGAATTGAGGTTCCTTAGTCTCTGGCATCTAAGAG